TAGGTTTTACATAGAAGTGAAAATAGTTTTATGTAGAACGGTTTTTTTAAATATTCCTTTTTGACTTTATGTCATAGATTATGTAGATTTTTAAAGCTATTTTTAATATTGTAATTGCATTAAAATTACAGTCGATAAATATTTAATAGGTATATATCCTCTATATAATCAAAAAATATTCGTGATTTACAGTTTAGTAACTTATAAATAATATTATGTACAATTTTAAAATTACCAAACAATGTGTAAGGAATAATCTTGACAAATTGAAATATCGACTTGATTTAATACTGAATGTCAATGTGATACTTTGTAAGTTTGATTATCTTTTTAATAATATTCGAGCATTTACTATATATACTACTTATTTACTATTTAGTGATCAAATACTTTTTTCTTGTAACCTCCATGCTAGGAGTCACGTCTTAAGGTTTGCGATAAGAACTGTTTTATTATTTAACAATATTTACACTGATGTATTTGATTTGTTAATGTATGTTACCCAAATATATTAAATAATTACTCGATACACTTTTGTTGAGTTTGAACATCGATAATGCATTTTTTTTTGTCAACATGTGCAGACTTAGATATTATAAAAGTTTCAAATTTGGAAATGCGTATAAAAGGATTATATTTGAATGTTTTTTTTTCAATTTCTCTCTTAACCGGACAAAGATATCGGAATGTAATGACAATGGATTTTTTCGCGCGGTAAAGATGGATGGTTGGTAGTTTTTTGGATCGCTGGAGCAACATTTAAAATGGTTTGCATGTGGCTGTAAAGGGACAGAATAAGCAGGTAGGTTGTTACTCGCGTTTTTGCATTTCCTTTCCTTGCTTTTTACAATAAAAACTTTCTTTTAAATAAATAATCCCGACATCGCTTGACAGGGATTCATCTTAAAATAATAATTGCTGTATGGCCAGCTTTTTATTTTTTTGTATCGTATTTGAATTGTGATATTTGTGGACGTACCATATAAAGAAATTCGCTTAAAAGTAGTTTAAGAGTATTTACTTTAGAAAATTATTTTAATGTTACTGAGCAATGCAACCTCTTTCAAAGAATTGCAATATAGATTAAAAAGATATACATATATAAAGTTACGTGTAATTTCCATTCAATATATAGTATAAGATAGTTTCCCTCCTGCTATTTTATATACAGCATTGATATATGCATCAGGGGGTAGAATGGATGAGAGGGAGAGGGCTCATAAATTTGGTCGGCCTCATTTGAATTTCCAATCCGTGCGTTCATTCGCAGAATATACGAGGTCACGAGTGAAAACAAATAGAAAACGCTATACTTGATGGATCAGGAATATATTGAGGATTGATGTGTATATAATACTTTATATCTATATATAACAATAAATAAATGTTGTATTACATTTTTAGATGATGTGTAAGTTAGAAGAATGTATGAATCTCATAATGAGATTTAATACTTTTGTGATTATTCATTTAAATGAATTTCACATCTCGTCTGCCCGTGGTCATGGTTGCTGAAAAGTAACCGAAACGTCGGGAGTATGTAGTTTTTGCAATCTTCTTACTTTTCATAACAATTCCTTTGATTTGTTCAATTGATATAAAATAGAATGCTATATGTGTATTGATGAAGTGATATAAAAGAAGAAAATAACAAGAAAAATTAGAGCATTGTTTTGTATTTAAATTACTTAATTACGTAGACATATATCACTAAAAAAATATATTTATTATTTACTTAAAATAATGTTTTGTGTGCTTATTTTTTAAGAACTAAAACGTTTGTTTTATATGTCTTGGTGAATTGAAATTTGTAAACATGAAGTCTATAATTTCTTTTAAAAATCATCAATGTATCTGCTTATACTTACTGTTTTCTTTATACGATGAAGACGAAAGATTTATTTATTCTTAAAAACCTTGAAACACGTGTCGCGAAATAATAGAGTGACATCTGCGATACAAGATTAAGCAAGTGTCGCGTTCTGTTCCTGGAAACTTTACGATTTTTATTCCGATACTATCCTTCCACGCATTTTGACGGGATTAAGATGATTTTTTGTTCTACTTTTTATTATTTCATTTCCATAATCCCCATACTCTATAGAGTGGAAAATTATGTTCAATTATCTAGTCTGAACGATCTGTTTTAGAAATATTTAATGGTATTAGTTAAAAATTATTTTTTTTGTCTTTTTTTTATTAAATTATTATAGAATATCTGTATTTTTTTGTGCAAAATCTTCATATATACCCACTTTAATAAAAGTATCGGTTAACTTGGCCGGTATATGAAAAAATTGAATGAGTGGTCAGACAACATCTGTCTGAGAAAAAATCATGGTTTTGGAAGCGTGCCGCCCTTGTACCGCCTCTTGCGTTTTTACTTGCATTTAGATTTCTAATTTTTGCCTCTACACCATATGGTATGCATGCAGATTATATGTATGAAAAAAAAATTAAATTAAATACAATTATTCTTTGTCTCATTGTTTAGTATGTGAAGTTGAAGATACCTAATCTTAAATATATTAGTACGAAAACTGTTATATTTTCTTAATAGCACAACGTTTTTTAAGTAACAAAAAAAGAATGATTAATTGTTGATAATTTTCATATAACATTTCATCTGATGGGGTGTGTGTGAAAAATTACAAATTAGCGGTCACTTATGGTAGCTTTTTAATATAGTAGAGTTGGCGCCGCCTTTTGTTAGTTGATTTATGGTTGGTTTTTAATTGTTTTGGCCAACTTTTTACCTGAAATATTTCAAATATCTTTGTGTTATAAATTAAATTATATTTTATCTTAACCTTGTATCAGTTAGAAAAGAATCTGTTCTTTTATTCTGTAAAAGATATTTAGAATTCTTTTTAATAACAAATTTTTGTATCTTATAATAAAGTTTAAGTATACGAAAGTCGAAAACCATACCATATTGCCATTTTTAGCTGTTCTTTGTACGGTGCTTACAGGTATTCCGAGTAAGCCACCTGCAATGGATTCAGAAAAAAATCATTCAATGAAATATAGATTCGTATTTGGTCATAAAAGCTATGGAGCTGTTCTCAAATTTTCACTATAAAATATTTTAATGTGTAAAATAATGGAGAAGACAAAATTTACACCTATATATTATTGTAATCAATTTCTTTAAGATATATATCAAGAGTAATGAATAATTATTAAGTAATTTAATATATATTTTGTATATGAATAATCCTTTGACTGCGATCTTAGTGTATACTCCATACATTCTCTGTCATTGTTAAAGCGAATTCTTTTTAAGTTTTTTTCCGTGCATGAAGCAGCATATCCGTAGGATTTGGGTCAACCGTATTGTTACCAGATAATGTATGACGTTTATTGACAAATTCTAGAAAACCAAACCAAGAACGCGGTTCCAAAATGACACTTGAAAGTTTTGTAGCTGAACAGTGATTTAATGTCGGCTGTATAAATATATTGTACATTAATTTAAAGTGAACTATATCTGAACGTTTGTAAAAGATATTTTTTTAATTTATATTATTTGTGGCTTTTGTTATTTTATTTTAATATCCTATATTTTATACTACATGAACTCTCACGTTATCATAGAGCTTACTTTTGTTTTTTTTTTAAATATATTTATATATTTTTTTATTATTTTAAGGTTGTCAAATAATAATAAGTTAAGGTTGTAGCCTTGTTGTTTTGCTTTTTTATTTCGTGACGCAAATCAGTTTTTTGTACAGTTGAAAAATAGTTTAAGGCTTGGACAACATGTTGGTTTTAATGATAAACCGTAGATAGTAAGAACTTTAGAATTGTAAAGGCTGATTTGATTAATGTACTAAGTATCAACATGCAATTACAATTTTTTTTATTGTTGTAATCATACAATACTTATATGTAATTTTAATTTAAAATTTAAACACCTATCCAACAGCGAGTCTCATTATTGTGTGCTATAATTATTTTGCACGTTTTCAGCATTGCAGATAAAAAATAACTGTAAAATATACAATTTGTTTCATAAGTATTTTATAAGTGTAGCTTAATTTTTTTTCAGTATTTTTTGTAGTTAAATTTGTTTTTTCTATTCGATATAATTTTGTCGTCTATCTTTTCATTACTTTCAAAACAGTGTGTACATGATCTAAGCTTGTTAAAAACACGAATTTGTCTTAAACTCATGAATATTAATATAAAGTTTTTACGCGTAACGGTGACATATACATAGTATTGTTCTTAAAAAAATAGACTCTCCATAACAATTAAGTTTTAAAACAAAGAATTCGATTTATTTTAGTAGTATTGACACCGTTCAATATTTTGTATTGTTTTCTTAGTAACTACTTCCTCACTTTCCAATTGAATAATTAAAATAACTGTTTATAAGCTGTGTAATACTTTCTTAACTAATTGCATTATTATTGAAAAATGTATTACTTTTCATAGAAGGTGTATCAATAAAATAAAAATATAGATGAAACTGGTTTATTTATTATCCAGCACACAAACTAAATATAATACAATGAATTCTCATAAAACTTATACAAAAATTAGGACAAAACATTTTATTTGTTATAATAAAACATGCAAACGTAATGAAATAAATAAAAAAAATAATTATAATCTCTCATACCCAATATAAATAGACTTAAAACCGTCAAACTTTTATATAGTTTTGACGTGCTATAGGTAACATTACCGTTCTCATATTAATGTACAATCATCATCGCCTTTTTGTGGAACCTTTGTACTAAACAGTCTTATACATTATTGGTCACTAGTTTAAAAACTAACACTAAAAGCATTACTATACATATAACTCACATACATAAGGTTTTATAATAACTACAAGCATATATTAGTCCTGTACAAGATAAATCTTTGGCTACATACATTAATACGATTCTGAAACTCATATATTTAATAAATAATTATAGTTTATGACTTACGCGTTAAATGAACGCATCTCGCGTTGACTAGGGGTAGGTATTAGGCTTATCATAGATTTAGGCATGCTGGGCGCGTCCTAAGTGTATGAAGAAAGCTATACGGTCGGAGCTTCGTTCTCCACATTTGTTGCACATGAAGGGATCGTTGTATCCATGGAAACCCATGTGTATGGTGTGCATGGTGAGATCCCCGAACGTTATGTCGCAGTATTGGCAGGTGTATGATGCTGGCGCGCTAGTTGGTTCAGCTGAAGCGTCGGATTCCGAATCTGAGTTTTCCGCCTCCATTTTTGTGTCTTCGTGCTGTAGTCTCAAGGCTGCCGGTTGGAGTTTGAAAGCTCTTCCTTTTCTCCTGTTCTTCAAGGCTGTCGTGGGGGTCACAGGCGCTGGTGGTTCGACGGGCGGAGGCGATCCCGCCTCGCTCGTCTTTGTATTTGTCAAGTCAAGAGCGTCAGTGGTCTGGGGTGGTGTTAGGGTACGCTTTGTAGGTGTTTGTGGTAAGATTGTGGGTGATTTAGTTGGTGGCGGTGTTGCACCTGCTTCTGAAGGACATTCGCCGTAAGATAGGCGCTGTTGTAATATCGATTGAGGTGAAGTAGATGGCTGGTTTTCAACCGATGTTTCGGTCACTTTAGGCGATGTCCTCTGTTCGTAATTATTATTCGGTGGGAACAGGAACGAGTGCGGCAGGAGTGGCGGTAAGTATGGCAGGTTCACCGGGAAGTGATTACCGAAGATTGGATGCTGTGGCGGGAGAGGTTGTGGCTTGTTGTTCATCTGCTGCTGATCGTACATCTTCATTAACGGCTTCTGTTTAGGACCACGTCGTGTTCCGTACACATCGATAATCGGCAAAGGGTTCGGCGTGCCATCCATGTTCAACACCATCGCTGGGTTGTGTTTGTACTTCCGCAGGTGAAGTTTGAGAGAATGACAGTATTTTGTAGCGTAGTTACAATCAGCGCATCTGTATTGGTAGATGTTCGAATGAGATTTCAGGTGTGAATTTAACATAGATTTGTTGACGCAAGAATAAGAGCACTGAGAACATTGGAACGGCTTCGAGCCTAAATGGTTCCTCATGTGATATTCGAGATGGTGTTTGTATTCAGTGACGAATGGACACTTTCTACATGTGAGCATTTTTTCGGGCTTGATGTGCTCCTTGCTGTGTTCCCAGAAACTCAGTTTTGTGACAGCCACGAATTCGCATTGTTTGCATTTGAACGTTTTGACTTTTCCGTGTGAGTTGACCGCCGGCACGCGTAGTCCGGGTTCTTCGTCGAAATCTTCTTCGAGCCCGGATCCATCTCTACCGTCGTCAGCATCAGATTTATTTTGCCCGATCTCGAAACCGGAGTCGTGGAATCTTTCGAATGCTCTTCTTTCATGATCTCTAAGAGGTGATGACGGAGTCTGCGGGGGAGACTTCGGTGGTGTCGCATCAGCGCGGGCTAGAGGTGTGGAGACGTGAGCCGGTGGCGCTATAGATCGTGGGGAGTACGAGCTGTATGGCGACTGTTCGTGCTCTTCGTTATGCCTGTTTTCAAAGCCAGGCGGCGTGAGCAGACTGTAGGGCAAGCCGTTACGGTATGATTCCAAATGCATCCCGAGATTCGCCTTTGCTTTTAAAGGCATGTTGTCGTAGAAAGGGGAAGGTTCTCCGGAACTACCGACGCTGCGCGGCGAGTGACCATTGGAGTCCTTGCTGGATGATGAAGGCGATGCGCTATGAAAGCCTTCTGAGTAAAAACCGCTCGCTTGTTCCTTTGAGAAGCTTCCGTCTTCCATCGGTTCCGTTTTCTATGAAAAGGATGGGCGTTATTTACGTTTTATAGGTATATTTTTTTGTAATCTATTGTTTTAAGAATATCATAAAGTGGGTTAATTGATTATACACTAATGATAGGAATTAGGAAAATAACGGCCACCTAATTAAGACGGCGTCGTGTGATGTGAAAGCTATCGGCGTCTTTTACAAAGTGATTAACTCTAATTGAGATAAATTATATAACAAATAACCTTTGAAAGGCGATCGGTTTTAGATTGTAAACATGGAGTGTTCAAAAAAACTAAGATTTGTATCAAAAGATGGGTGTGGATGACGTTTATAATATTGTTAGTTTATACATGAAGGGAATTAGGGTGACTTACAATGGGTTGTTGTAAGAGTGAGCCCCAGGGCTGCGCGTGCGGCGCGGCCATACTGGGTGATGCGCAGCTTAGCATGCCTGGAACAAGATAAAAAGTTAATAACTAAGAAAATCACATACCTAATAAATAAAGTGACAGCCCTGAACAGACAAACCTAAAAGAAATGTCATAGTTGTTCTTTAATTGTCAGATGAGTTTTTAATATAAAACAGCTAAAATAATATATATGTAATGATGTTAATATATTTTCCACTGTAACATGCTTACTGCGTAAATATCGAATACTGAGAAAAAATTTGCTCAACTAGCAAAATGTTAAAAAAGCAAACGATTTAGTCACGTACATGACGAATGATTGTTCCTAAAAAAATATACTTAGAAGATGTATTATGTCGTATTATTTGGAGTTATTTATAGTTATTAAATATTTGTAATGAATTTATATGTAGAATAGATATAGTAACTTTAGTAAAGTATCAAACAAAATAAGTTTTATTTGTATGTATTTTATCTAACGATATAAAAAGTTTTTTTTTATCATAATACCACAAGTATAGAATATAAACTTGCCAATTCTAGTATAGATTTGATATAAAAATAAAATATTAAATGTATATTAAATAAAAGCTCATTTAAACTATAACGTTACGAGAAAATGATATTTAAATTAAAAATATACCTTTCCGTTGTAATTCGAGCAACAGTTGGTAAACACACACAATTTCATTAAATTATTCTTAAAACTTCACTAAAATTATCACAATATTATTAAATAAAGCACGTATATAGTCTGAGATGTTTTTTAGAGCAGGATATTCCTCCGCCACCAAAGTAGATGCGACTCGGTCTGCGTCCCACAATGTACTGAAAAAAATCTGTCAATTTTTATGCCCCAAACATCGATAAATGTACTCTACATTTGAACGGCTCCAGTTTTCTAGTGCGAGCGGGACGGATGCATTTGGCGATACGTTCGTCCCTTTTCACCCCCACAGCCTATTTTTATTCGAACCAATGATACGCTGGCTACTGTGGGTGGGGATCGAGTTATTAAGTTATTGTTTATGCTATATTAATAATAAAAAAAATAAGCAGCTCCTGGCGCGACGCTAGTAATAAAATATATTCCGTTGTTTCGGTTATTGTGCATCAATAAAACGGGAGTACGGAGGCAAATGAGATTGTTTAGCCATTGTTACCAGGATACGATAATGAGATTTTTATGTTTATTTGTTGCTATAAGCTTTATAGGGTTTGATGTGACATGGATATTACGTAAGAAATACAATAAAATTTATGATTGATACTTCTAATGACTGCATTAGTATGGAGTAGGTATTTTGTTGAGTATAAATAATAAAATATATTTTTAGCTCTTTTTACATAAAGTGTATTCGTATTATGTAAACATTCCCCTCGTTTGTTCGCGGCTGTAAAAAACAGAGTATAAAAAACTCAAAGGGCAGACGCGTTGAGGGGCGTCGAGCTTTTTACGTCGACGTTTCAACCAATAGCAGACATTGATTTAAAAAAGGAATCATATATAACTTTTTAAACAGCCGAGTATGAATCAACCAATGAAAGCGACTTCTGTATTCGGTATAATTTTTTTTCTGATTCACAATAAATATGAACTAAATAAAATATATGATTTCGGGATAAATATATACAATTTTAATTAATTTTGCTAAATATCTTAGATGTATTATATAAGTTTTAGTACCAGACAAGTTTTTTTAAATCTATCTATTGACGTTTAAAGAAGAAGGTTTTATATAAAAATAAATAAAAAAAAAGTTCCGATTGAATGGATTCTTATAAAATTTGTTATGAGAGCAAATTTTTGTATTTCCTTTAAATTATTAATAAATATAATATAATTATTAATGTGTGTACGTATTAATTGGTACCTGTTGTCATTAGGCTGGATGGTGCCGCGCTGTCTCGAATGTTTCTTACAAAATAATTAATTAATTTAACAACATATAATTCATTATAATCATTATGTGTGATAACTAATGTTGAATGCGTTATTAATGTGTTTTGCAAGGATTTCTCAACTTTATTTTGACTTTAGACATAAACATACTGATACGAACAAAAATATTTTTAATTGTCGAAATTATGGTTATTTATGATTATCTTGTGTGTACCTGACTTGATTAAGATTTAAATTTAGAACACACTTTAAGTAAACTTCAAAATATTGGTACCCAATCATTTCAAAGAGATATTTGGTAGGACATGAAAAAACTATAATAAATGATTCTCTTAATCTTATACCTAATATAATTTTCTTCATGAAATCTCTTTTAAAATATAATCATTCCATATTTCCTATTTGTTACTCCATTTCACAATTAATGAAAATTTTTGACAACTCAATTCGTTATGACAGTTTGTTTTTTTAAATCACTTTCATCCTTTATTGATTTTTTATGAAAAAAAAAAGTTAGAAATTCGTTGCTTTTGTTTCTTCTAAATGACTATTTGATAGTAATTATAATTTCAATATGAATAATATTTTTATATAATTATAGTAACAATTTAAGTATCAATCGTTATCTGTGCTCGAGTTATATTTGTTTAAACCTACACTTTGTATCTCATTGTCCGTGAGAATCATTAAATGATTTCTAAGAACACTTAAATTGTTTCCTCTCCGCTATTGTTTAATTTTTATCGAAATTAAATAATGTTTTTATATTTTATTTGTATGACATTATAAAATTAGTTTAAATTATATAATTTCCTTATACGTTACAAGAAAAGTATTAATGTTTCTTGAAGGAGAATCACGTGATTGTCAAATATAATATGTACATTAGGATTGTATGAATTCATGTTATAATAATTAAAATATAAGATTATGATTCCCATCTTGGCAAGTTATTAAAATACTTTTTGTCGTATAAACTAAAGATTATGGATGCATTTAAAAGTTTTTTAAATGTAAAGGTAATATTGATTGAATTTAAACATGACTTGATTTAACGAATATTATTATTTTATAACCATTTTTTGATGCAAAGAAGTTAACTACATATGTTACCTTTTGTATTTATATAGAAGAGTATAGTAATATTATTTAGGATTTTGTCTAGGATTTTATCCTACCAGTATCATTCTGTCAGAGAGTATTCTTTATATATGACACTAGAATATTTATCCACTTCAAAAATTAATGGGTTTTGACGTAATTATTAAAATAGTTGCTTTAAAACTTAATAAACTTATATTAAATGAAGTCCACGAAATATTATTGAAATTTGTAAAGAATATTAAATCTATAGAGTTGTTTTACTGTTTGTACTGTTTTATAGAGTGATTTCTTTTATAAAAATTTATTTCTCTTAACTTAATCTTCTATATATATAAAAATGGATTGCTGTTCCTTAGTCTCGCTAAAACTCGAGAACGGCTGAATGGATTTATCTTATCTTAGTCTTGAAATGTTCATGGAGGTTCAGGGAAGGTGAGAAAAATTGATTCATTTCCGGGAGAACCCTAAAAACAGCCCTTTTCTATTTCCCATACAAATGTTTTCTTTGACATTAGATTTGACAACTAACTAATATGTCAATCATTCTGTTCGATTGAAACAGGAAAAACCTATTTATGGCCTCTAGGACGGAATAAAGTTCGCCCTGTCAGGTATACATATATTACTAATGAAGAAATTAACGCGGACGAAGTCGTGGGCAAAAACTAGTTCTTCAATAATTTTATAAAATCTACTAATATTCCTATATACCTATACATACATGTATGGTACATAATAATTGAATATTTCAATAACATCATGCGTGTAAATGTTTTAACATTATAAATATTTATTATACACTCAAATTTTTTTAAGAATGCTATACTCTACTATATGTATGAATAGTTTAAAATTATTCCTAAGATTAAAAATATTTAGCTATAACCTATCTAGGTCTACATCTGTAGACTTTGTTTATATTACATAAAATATTTTACGTGTATTTTAAAATAAAAAATAATATATAAACCTTTAAAATTTGTAGCATTTGTAAGTTAAATTTAGTTCTACTACTACCTACTTTATAAAACTTTATAAATGTAAACTTTACATATTTTTATCTATATGTTTTAATTTTAAAACGATTAACAACTATATAAATAACATCACATATAGACGGTGATTAAGAAATAATTAATATATTTTTTTTTATCTTTCTTTTGTCGGCGTCCTGTCGTTATCTTTACGCGGTTTGTAAAAATATTTTTATAATTGTTTTATGTTTTTATAGTTTTCATATTAAAATTGTTTCTTAAGTTCTTTTATAATGTGGTTTAAACGGAATAAAGATTGAGTAATAGTAGATGATATTCAAATTAGATAAATTGAAATTCAACGTGTTGGGTTAAATTATTAAAAAGATATTATTTTTATACAAAGATATTTATTATAAAAATAATCGTACATTTCGTGAGCTTATACAGAAGTTGTAAGTAAATTAGTATGTTTTGAGAGTTCAAAGAAGACTCATCTACCTAACTATAATAATTTTGATATCTCAGTATTCATTAATTTGACATGATTCTATAATAATTCATGTTTTAAGTTTAAACAACCAGTATGATTGTATCGTACAATTAAATTCTATTGTTTATGTTAACAACTTCATTTAAAATGTAAATTTTTAATCAAAATATTCATATTTTATATCGGAAATCATGTTAATAATTGTCGTTTGTTTTTTATGTTAATTTAATATCAGCTTTTATTAAATTTTATTGAGCTTTATATACATAGTAGGTACAGTATTTATTTGTATTTTTACGTTTAACTTATCGTTTCCGTATTGTATCTAAAAAATTAAAACACTCCAACTTTACCTCTTCTAAGCTTTCATCTAGCGTTTTTTTAAACAACTAAATTATAACTAAATTCTATACACGTATATTTTAATTAAACTGTAAAATCAATATGTAATTCATATTAATTCGTAATATTAGTTATTTGATATGTCGTTGGAATGTCTTGGAGATCGTTTTAGTGTCCAGGAGTAACTGGGGTTTGGTCCATTCTCCGGTCAATGCACCACATA